CTGCTGCTGATCGTCGCTCTGTGCTGCGGAGCTCGCAGAGGTAAAACTCCTTCAACACTGCAACAAGAAGTGTCTCCAAATGTTTTTTTTTTTAAATTTTTTTTATTATTATTATTGTTTCCATGCATTTCATCACAGCCTCTCTTAACTCTTCATTTCTTTTAATCTGTTCTGGTTACTTAATAATTATTAGTTATTTTTGTGAGCCCATTGTTCGGCCCGGTCCTTGTGCTGGGCCCTGACAATGGCTCTCTCCAAAGCGGCAGTGCAGCAGTCTGAGCACGGATCGAGTTTCTCCTCCTCTCTCCTGGGCCGTCATTCTCCTGTCTGCCCCTTAATGGCTCATGGAGGAGGGGAAGAGAAGGGAGAAGAGGACGACCAGCTCTCCTCCTGTCTATATACACAACAGACCTATTGAATCCAACTTAGAGCCGAGTCTGTCAGAGGGTGGCTGACCATAAAAAGTCAAAAGTGGGCTGTAAATCTAAACTTAAAGTAGAGCAAAACCCATTCACAGAAAAGGTGTCAGACTTGGCTGATTTTGATGTTTATCTTCTCACCAACATAATATGTCATGTTCCCACTTTCTTTGCTGCTCATTTAATTCCACCTCTAATCATGCATTTTCCTCTTCCCAGCCTTTTTTATGGTTGTGTTTTTGGCTCGCTGTCTGTGCAGGGGGTCGACTGGAGTGGTGCCTATTTATTGGGCAGTCACACCTCCTGTAATTAGTTTACCAGGATTCATCAGCAGGACAAAAACCCACCTCCTTCACACACACACACAGACTCACACACACAGCCTTGTGCAACATGCTCCTGCACATTAAGACTCTCTCAGCACCTATATACTTGCACAYGTGCGTCACCTGGAAAGAATGTGCATTATTGTTTAGTTTGCTGAGGCGAAGCGGAGGGTTTTTATTTGCCAAAGCGTGTGAAATGTTTCGTGGTTTTTTTTGTTTGTTTTTTTTTTTTTTGCTTTTTGGACAGTTTGTCAACAGCTGTCAAGCGCYGCGTGTTTGGACAGGAAGGCAAAAGGAGTGTCTGAATCGAGGGACCATTGTTCGCAGTCGAGTGCGGTGCTGTATGTGGAGCTTTGCGTCGGTGTGATTTGAGCTCGGGAGTGTGAGAGAGTGCACACAACAAGGTGATCAATAAGCACTTCACGAGCCATTCCCTCGGCTGAGAGATGATCCCAGCGGATCCTTTTCTGATCTGGGGAGATTAGAAAAGTTGGAGGGAGTCTGAGTGGGAGACAAAGAACCACTAAGAAGAAGAAGATGATGAAAATAAATAAAAAAAAAGCAAGATTGGGAGATTCTGACCTTGTTTGATGGTAGAGAAGGTGCCTCAGGATGCAAAAGGACAGAGGGCAAAGGAGCTGAAAAGACCAGAAAAGCTGCTGAAGATCTGAAAAAAGAGAATAAATAAAAAAGGTTGAATTTTGAAGGCAGTGCTGACTCCCCTTTGTGTCTCCTCTTAGAGACGACAGCAAATAAAACTGCAATAATCCCCCCCCACAGGAGGACTTCCTCATCCTCCTCTTAATAATCTATAAATCTGTTGATTCTCTTTTCAAATCTCATTTAGCATTCACCACCTCAACTCCATTTATCATAAACTCCTTATTTATATGCACAGATTAGATTTTCCTTTCAAATACAGCTCTGCGTGCTTGAAGAGATGGGTGGGCGACGTCCCTGGAGAACCAAAATAAGGGAGTTGTGTTTTGACAATCGACTTTAGGTCGTCAGGACATAATTAATCAGCTTCTTGCCTGATAAACCTGCAGAAAGTTTGCATCGCAGTGCATCTTTAAAAGTCAGAAGTTGGAGCTAGAATCTTTCTTTTACGAGGTCAGCTTCCTTTTTGCTCAGACATTATTGAATAGATGCTTTAGTGTGTTTTAGTGCAGCTCAGCAGAACGCTTTAGGAACCAGAACAAACTTAATCCAGTTTTTGGGTGCTGCAGGCCTGATAGGAGGGGAAAACTGTCACAATGTGGCCTCAGTGCTCAAATGATGTGTGGCTGTGGTTGGAGAGGTCCGACAGCTTGTGTGAGTGTGTGTGTGTGTGTGTGTGTGTGTGTTTGTGGACCGGTGTCAGTATTTAACAAGCAGGGCTGAGATTCTGAAGTTTGGCACGAGTGGGGGTCCTCCTCTCGCACCCCGTCTGCCAAAACCCGGAGCAGCACTGCCCCCATATGGTGGCACCCATCTCTCCGTGAGTCTGTGACGAGGAGCAGGCTAATGGCTTTGTTTTATTCGTTTCTTGGTGCTAACTGAAGTGGATGTGAGGGGAAAAAGTGTGCACTTTCTGCTCTTGCTTGAACACAGGAGAGTCATAACACCCTCTGAAGATTTTTGATTGCAGCTCGAGTTTGTGTGCAGCTCCACACACACACACACACACACACACACACACACACACACACACACACACACACACACACACGCTGCAGAGCCTTTCTATCTGGCCTAATCTAATAGCAGCACGCTGTGACTGATGCATTAGGTCTGGTCTCTAATCTCTCTCTGGCTCTAACTCCCTGTTTCTCCCTGATGATCAGTGATACAAAAGGCTGCTTTGACCCCAGTCTCGCTCAGAAATGTAGAAACAGATAAGAGGTCACAGACAATTTTAGATCGAGAAATCTCTTCCTGATAGGCGTGATGGTGGTCTTTTAAAATGTTTTTTGTCTAAATATTAAAAATAAAATCTCTCAGATGTGCCACAACAAACAGGCTACACTTCATGTAATCGTGGAAGATTTGTAAGTGCAAACCTTTTGCTTTATGTGCTTCTTGGCTACAGTATCGTCTGACTCCTTGTGGGAAAAACTTGCTTCATCGTTCCTGTCTGACTGCTCTTTGGTTTATTACTCTTCGGCTTTATTACACTCACAAAGCGGCACTGCTGATTGATCAAGAATTGGCAAATGGTCCGCTTTTATTTTTTGTAGTTTTATTAGCTCAAACGGGCTGATACCATTGTGAGTTTAAGATCAAAGTGAGCTTTTTTTTCCTCTCACAGTAACCTTATCTGTCTCGTGTGAGTGCACAAACTTTCCACTTCCGCGTAAGATCCAGCATCTAATCAGGTTCAAACCTGATTTGTCAGACATCTGAGATTACATAACCGTAATTGCTTTGCTTCATGCTGGTGATTTTGACCCAGTGTGTGTGTGTCTTCTTCAGGTCAGTGCCAGGTGGCCTCCACTCAGTGTCGAATCCAGAAGTGCACCACTGACTTCGTCTCCCTGACCTCCCACCTGACGCCTGCCGTGGATGGCTTTCACGCGGAGTTCTGCAAGGCTCTGCGCTCGTACTCGGCCTGCACTCAGAAGACAGCCAAGGCCTGCCGGGGAAACCTGGTCTTCCACTCGGCCGTGCTCGGCATCTCGGACCTCATGAGCCAGAGGAACTGCTCCAGAGACGGGCCGACGTCCTCCACGCAGCCCGAGATCCACCCTGAACCCTGCAACTACCACAGCCGTACCCAGCACGCCCACACACACACACACTCCCACGGGCACACACACTCACACCCTCACAGCCACAGCCACACTCAGCCTGCGTACTTGTTCTGTGGGCTGTTTGGAGACCCGCACTTAAGGACATTCAAGGACAGCTTTCAGACTTGTAAGGTGGAGGGGGCGTGGCCTCTGATCGATAATCACTACCTGTTGGTGCAGGTCACTAACGTTCCTGTGGTTCCTGGCTCCAGTGCTACAGCCACCAATAAGGTGAGGAAGGAAGGGGGCTATGTGGGGTTGAATTTGTTTAAGGTATATTTTAAATCTTTTGGAATTGGGTTTTGTGGAAAGGTTATAAACAATCAATAACTTACCTGTTACAATGATGGTCATTGGAAATAGACATTCTAATAAACCTAGAAGTTGAAGCTGAAATGGGACCAACTTCCTTAAAGGCTGATTCCAATAAACGTTTTAGGTCTGGCCCCTTACATATGAACTGACAGACTTTGGTACTTGGATTGTTGAAAAACAGGAAGGAGATTATTTGGGGTCTAGATGTGGTCTAGATCCCCACACCCCTGGTTCCAAAAATGTAACATGGCAGTGCCCTTTAACTGGATCTTGTGGTTTTAATTTTGGACAATGTAAAACTTTATCTGTCTTATTTATTGTAAGTGTCTCTTCGAACGACCTCAGTTTGGAGAAGTGAAGTTTAATTCTGGCCAGATTATTTAGCTARCAGCTTGTTAGGTCAAAGTGGACCGTTGTCCTAAATCATTTTTGATCACCAACAATTCATAGCGGTTCATATGAACTCTTATTTTATACATATTTTTCATGGTTTTTAGTTTTGCATCTGTTATTCATATAGCTTTTAATGGTTATTTGCAAGAGAAAAGCAGCAGCAGCAACTAGCTGTAGCACTCATTGGAGATTGTGATACACGCACTTCACACTAACTTAGTAAAAAGAGAAAAAGTTTCATACGGAAACCCTATTAATGCTTTTAGATTTTTCTCTGAAGGAACTTCACTTTGATCTTGGCCAGAGCTGAACTAACTTTTGATCTGATTGACAAGYGAGTTAATCTTTGGTTCTTCAAACTGAGGTCGCTCAAAGACCTATCTAAAATAGCTAAGWTATTATTTGCTCTTACATTTTCTATGGAATCCCACTTCAAAATAAACATCTGAACAGGTTTTTTTTTTCAGGTGAAACAGCTTCTTAAGTGTGACCAGCTGATGTAAATGGCCTAATTTTTAGTGCGTGTGTTGTTGTAATTATTCCTCGGTTGCGTTTCTGTGTCACCTTATCAGTCTGGAACTAGAAAACACCCTCGGCGTTTAAGCCTCATTTTGTGCCTCTAACTGCCGCAGACTCACAGGTGTGAGGCGAGCGTCCTCGGATCTTGTGACTGCCTCTTGTGACTGCAGCGGCGTTGCAGATCTAACTTGGTTAATAGCTGCATGCAGTCTTGACCACTAATAACCGTGGAATGAGATGTGTGAAAGGACCTACTGTTTACTTTAGAGTGTGTTTGGAAGTGTGTGTGTGTGTGTGTGTCTCACAAGTTCATAAGTGGCACTCCTTGCACTCAGCTTAAAGCACTGTGTGTTAAAAGGTCCCAGTGCAGTGGGAAAGACACACACACACTCACACACATGCACACAAATATGTATGTGCACAACTAAATGGATGACAAGCCACACAAGGTGAGCTTTGTGGTGTTAAAGAAGCAATGTTGATGTTTCCCCTGATGATCTGCCCTCTCTAGCTTAGTCGATGGCTTTAATTATTAAAGCACATACACACTTGTAAACACACACACACACACATACACACACACACACAAGCACACACAGACACACATAGAGCAAATAGTAGTTTTTCTTCACTTTGTAGCTGAAGGGTTGACCTTGTGTCAGAGGTGGAGCGAGTTATTAGTCACAACTAATAGACACACACACACACTTATATACACACACTTATATACACCCACGTTAACAGCCCTCCAGGCTTAATGGGCTGCCAGGCCTCATTCCTCACGGCTGTCATGTGAACAAAGCAGCCATTCACCGGAACTATGATGCTAGCGCTAACCGTAATGCTCACACCACACCCTGCATCTGCACACCACTGGAGTGTGTGTATGTTTTTCAGTTTGGCGTTGCGTGTGCTTGCRTGTGTCAGCATGTTTTCATAGCTGTGTCAAATTACAACTTGTTAAAAACTCATTAAGTCATTTCTCAAATGTTGTGTGGAAATCTGTGTGTGCGTTCCCTGCATTTTTTTACCTGTCTTGCATTTTGTTTTCTTCAGTGTACTCATTATTGCGGAGCCTAAAAGGTGAATTTTTCCGGAAATTTCGACAAAACTGACCTAGGAGCTTTTTCCCCCCACTTTTTCTCTGCAGATCACCATAATCTTCAAGCCTTATGAGGGCTGCACGGACCAAAGGGTCTACCAGGCTGTCACAGACAACCTCCCCGCTGCCTTCGATGACGGGACGGTTAGCAGCGGCGACCCCATCCACGCCTCCGTCAGTGCAGACGGTGCAGCAGGGAAGGTCCGGGCTCTGTGGATCTCCGAGCGCAGCCCCGGGCGCCACGTGGAACTGTACGCCGGCTACATCGGCGTGACTATAATCGTCCGCCAGCTGGGGCGYTACCTGACGTTAGCGGTGCGGATCCCAGAGGAGCTGGCTCAGGACTATGACGACACCCAGGACCTTCAGCTCTGTCTGAACGGCTGCCCCGGCAGCGAACGCATCGACCAGGCGGGACACCTCCCGCTGCCGCTGTCTCCTCCCGCGCTTGGCCTCCAGCGCCAGCACCTGCGTCGGCCCAGCTACTCGCCGCAGACACAGGCGTACCCTCGCGGCGCCGTGCAGGTTTTCGGTGTAGAGRGGGCGAAGGAGCGCTGCGGGGAGCAGTTGGAGGTGCCGGACATTTACTTCCACTCTTGTGTGTTTGACCTCCTGACCACTGGGGACGCTAACTTCACGGTGGCTGCGTACAGCGCCCAGAAGGACATGGAGAGCCTCCACCCGCACCGGGATCGGTGGAGGATCTACCCCCGTGGATCCGCCTGGTCCGTCTTCCACTCTGACTCTGAGTCTGTGGAACAGCTCATTCTGCTCCTGCTGTGTGCTCTGAGGGCTGTTGTCCTGTAGGGACAGCAGTGCTTCTGTGTGTCTGGATGCATGTAGGCCTGTGTTTGTGTGTGCACTAGAATGAGAGTTTAGAGAGTTTTTTTTTTGTACTTTTTGCTGAGCACTGATATTGAGCACTGATGTCTTTCTCCTGCAGAGAGGAAACAGCAGGCTAGACAATTACTATGAACTGGAAGTCTTTTAAAGGAGGCGATAAGYCCCCTTAGTATGCACAGAGAGACGATCAACACTCGCAGCATTTTATCTGGCAGAGTCAGAATGCAACTGACAATGAGACGATTGCTTTGATTTGGGTGAATCAACTGTAAATAGTTCATTTTTCTCTTCAGTGCACAGTGTAATGATGTAGTTTGTTTTGGTTTGTGTCATTTGGTGTGATTTTTTTTAAATGCCTCAAACCAAGGATTTTATTTTATTTTATTTTATTTTAACAAAAGCACTTTATTTTAACTTTTTTCACACACAGTGCCAGTCAGTGTTTCTTTATTCACGTGCTGTTTTTTCCACCAAAACCAAGAAGTTTCGTCAATATTTCGTCAGCTGGATGGCAGGAGCTGCATTTCTGTTAAACGCGTCATTCTTCCAGCTGCGGAYCTGACTCAGTGTCTCATTTTACGTCGGTCAATGTGAGTTTTTCTGTTGAATGTATTAGGTATATTGTTGCAGCAAATGCCATCAAGTACTACTTTCTTTAAAAAAAAAAGATGTCAGCTGTGTGTGCAGATGTGTTTAGATATGTTTCCTTTAAACTAACTGAAGAATGTGGGTTYGTTTCATCAGAGGTATTCTCATCGTTTTGTCAAAATGTGATGACCAAACTGTCATGTTTTGTACTCACTGTATTTTTTTGTTATTATTTGAGCCAAAGACAAACAATGTATGAGTTTTTATTACAAGAAAAATCAAAACTCACCACCAAACCAGCACCCCTATTCTCTTCTTTTGTGAACTAGTTTTCTCATTCGGACAGGTACTTCTTATTTTGATCTTTGTACGATACTGAAGCAGAGAAAAAACTTTGATATGCTGTGCTGCTGTATGATTTGTACGCACAGTGTTGGGAGAATTTGATGCCTGGCAGGAATTTCAACCCTTTCAAACATGTAATATTCTGTATATTTACGCCCAGTTTGTTGAATCGGCTTAWTCTTAATTTGTTTGTGTGATATTTTTCATCATGTGAGTGTCGGTTTGGTGAAGAGTGACTGGTCAGTGTTGAAGTACCTAACTTATTTATGAACGTAGTGTCCTGTAGAGGAAGTTAAGCTCCATATTCTTGCTGTTGGTTAATTATTTAAAAAATGTCAGCTGTGATTGTACTGCCACCTAGTGGTGCTCTCTTGCTATGTTGGTGTGTTACTAAAGGCGCTGAATAACAAAGAAAATGGAGGAAACCAACTGTGTTTGTGTTTTATTGTCACTCAAAGGTGAAAGGGTAATAATGTTTTTGTCTTTGTGTTTGTTTGTATTGTTAGCAAAATGTTTCATAAGTTACCACAGATTTTAATAGGAAATTCAGACAGTAATTGGGCTGACACAACTGATTAAATGGCCGCTTCAGCAAAACAATCTTAACAAACAAAAATTGTTTACAGATAATCAGCTAATATTTTGTGTAGGTTGTGTAGTAACTGAGACTTATCTCCAGCTTGTACTCTGAGAACTAATCAATTGCACATGTTCTGTTTTTTTTTTTTTTAATTTATCATAACTTAATAGAGTCAACTTTTAACTGCTTTTATTTCAACAAACTATTAGAAAAATATCTCATGAACAAATTTTAATTAAAATTTTAGAAAATAATCATGCAGTTGATGTCTAAAACGTGATTAAGTCGGATCAATTCAAGAGGGTTGTACAGCCAACTGACCTTACAAAACACAAAAATGGCTTCAGACTCGTCCGTTTTCTTCTGCTTATCCAAGATCGGGTCACGGGGGCAGCAGTCTATGAGCAGAGAGACCCAGACCTCCCTATCTCCAGCCACTTCTTCCAGCTCCTCTGGGGGAATCCCAAGGTTTTTCCAGGCCAGCTGAGAGACATAGTCCCTCCAGCGTGTAAGAACCACTCTATGAAATTAGGACCAGCCCAATCTCACAAAATAATCCCTCACTCAAGATCTTTGCATTATGAAATCTCAGACACTGATAAGACCCATTCTGATCATGAATGA